CAGTTTGTTGATGTAGGACAAAGTGTGAGTTCTTAGGCGAGTTTTTTTCCTTAGTAAGACTGTAGTTGAAATATTTGGACACAATAAAGGAAACTTTTACTTAACCAGGCTGGGGGGCGGGGCGGGGGGGGGTAGTAGTGGAAAAGCGTTCTGTTGTTTCCACCTAAACAGTAACAGGCCACGGAACCCTTTGGGTTTCCCTTCTCATAACTAATCACTTAACACTGAAGATTCATTTGGGGTCTTGTTTCTTGGTCTATACAGAACAAAATAAGGCAGGTTTAAAAGTCCTTTATTTGAATCTTAGACAAAGAACAAGCATGGCCTTATAAAGACTTGCTTAAAAGCACATAAATCTGGTGTCATTTACGCATCACAACCGACGTAACTATTGTTGGAGAGAATCGTAGCCTGTTCCTCGTCTTTTAACCTGTTCTTTGTTCAGTGTGGACACGATCTTGGAAGGAAAACCCGCTGATGTGGCTTGGTGAACGCTCTCTCCTCGGGCCCTAACGGCTGCTCGGGTGAAGCACCACGGGTCTCAGCCCCACCACACTTGCCAACGTGACGAGAACTAAGTAATTGGTGTCTTAAGGCCAGATGTACGTGGCGGTTTTCACCCACCTTCTATGTCCCCCTCATCTCTTACCCAGGTGGCTGGCCTGGCATTTAGGGCCGAGGGTGAGGGGAATGGTCCAATCTGCATTCACTGTGAAAGTCAACCTGCTCATCTCTCTGGGGTTCCCATGTGGGGGCCATCTCAAGCCTCCGGGTTTAATGGTCACCAGCTGCACTGGGCACAAGAAGCAACACAGTGTGCTGTTTGTTAACCTTGGCAAATGACAGACCAGGATTTATTTACTCCTTGGTTCCCCAAACTAATATAATGGAGGCTTTTAATGTGCTGCACCTTTAATGCTTAAAGTGAGCAAACCGTTACGTCGAGACTGGTGTCCGTGATCCGCCAGTGGCTAGCCACGACACGATCCACACACAGGACCAAATTTCCCGATCAAGATGTCTCTGCCCTTCTTTTTATACAGATTATTCTGACAGATAACCCGACAGGTAACACAGCTATTTAGAACAAACTGCTCAAAGTTCTAGACTTATCTAAAATAGACTTTGTTTTCAGCTTAGTCACTAAAAATAGAAGTTAACAGGATACGTTCCGATTTCTGTTTGGGGGGAACAGAACACGGCATTTCTGTTATGTGCATAGTTCCGTCTGGACTCCAGCAACATCCTTCTGCACAGTCCAGTATCCTGTTTTCCTAGAAAATAAAAAGTTGACCATAACCCCTAGGAGTGGGGGGGGGCACAGAAACTGCCCCCCTCCCCAAATGTTACTAGGGGTAGAAACGAAAATTTCTCACATTTCCTTTCTTTAGGCTTTATTCTTGTTTTTAACGTACGTAATTAGTGTTCATATTAGCAGCAAAGATCCTACTTTCTGTAGATTAGAATGACTCAGGATGGGCAAAACTAACATTCTGGTTAAGAGCGTGGGGTGCACAGGTGGTAATAAGCATCTATCGATTCTGGTGTCGGCAGTCGTACTTGAGAGGTTAGTTCGTATAAATCAGCGGCTAGTATAAAAGGATCCATTGGAGCTTCGGTTCCCGCGGATCTGCTGCAGGAGCCCGGAGTCGGCCCATCGGTGCGCAGTGGAGAGAGGGCGTTCCTGGGTGGACAGCTTGCGGGAGGTCGGACTGGAGGGGACAGGGGGTCTTACTCTGGCTCGTCAGTAAAAAAGGGGTCACTCCTCATAGGTAGTTGACGTGGGAGTTGCTTTGAAACTTTTCAGTGTCGCGAAGTCGAATACGGGTTTTTCCCTGTGCTGTTTTTCTGCCAAGTTTCACAACCTGAGCTTTAGGAAAAGGGCAGGAGTCAGAAAGTAGTGCAAAAGTTGCAGGAGCTGGACAGCCGTCCAGTGTCCAGGACCCCCAATGCCACAGCAACGGCTGTCTTGTCGGGGTCACTGCTGTGACGACCGGGCTCCTGCCCGGCAGGAAGGGTCCAGCCAGGAAGGTTTAGTCGGGACAGTGTCTCTTTAAAAATGATAGAAAAATCAGTTTGAATCCCAAGTTGCTTGTCTGTTTCTAAGTAATGTTTATTTAGAACATTCAAGAATGACTCACAGAACATTGCTGCTTTCAAATACCTCCGTGTCTACTCCTTGCTAACAAGAAAAGGCAAAGCCGTGCCAACTTGGTGGTGGGAGGCTGCAGTCATTTAGAAAAAAGTTAGTTTTGTTAGATTTTTTTGGTTTTTACTTGTGAAAAGACAAACCCTGACACTCAATAATCTAGCGTAAAGCTTCTCAACTACAAGCCTGGCAAACACTGGATTCAAGATGATCCTTGTACAAATCCTCACTTTGGAAAGAGGCCGTCTACACCTACTACTGTAACGCAGCTGCGTATCTGTTCTGAGCGAGCTGATCGCCCCCCTGGGGAAGGAGCCCCTACGTCTGACTCAGTAGTTCGCACGGGAAATATTTCCATTAAAAGCCTAAAAACGTGGGATTTGCCACCAGGTGAAGGACCATTCCTGGCTGTCCCCATCATCACTTCCCAAGACTGCGGCGGGGGCGGCCCCAGGGGAACAGGGTCCTGTACCTCCCGGGGGGACTGCCCGCTCTAGTTTAACCAAGTCCCTGCCAGCTTGCAAAACCCCACTTAAAAACTTAATAAATTAAAATGATATGTACACATATATATCCTGGGGGCAGAACTCCTGGCTGCAACCCCCCAGAGGCGATTTCACCAACACACTAAACCAAAACACCAGCTTGCTGTATTAACGAATCAGGTGTAGCCGCTTGCTATTTCCCGACAGCCCTCACTGGTGGGAGCCTTACACGTGTTAGATCAAAAGCACTGTGGGGCCCAGGGAGGAGTAGTGGCTTTGATGGAAACTCAGACGGTGGAATACTTCTTTGCCAATTGTCAGCGGCCATTCGCTCGCTTCCTGAAACCGCACCCTGAGAAGCCCACTCCCTCATCTCCAAACACCAAGTCAAGGCCAGGAAACCACAAGGAGCTAGAGGGTCAGCAGGGGGAGTGGGGGGGGGGGCCTCCCAGGCTGCCGCTGAAGGTCATGACTCCTTGCTGTCCCTTCTGCATGTCCACCTGGAGGAGAGGCCTTTGGGGGGGCCGACGGCATGACCGCCACCTGCCGGCGGACGGGTAGGGAGAGCTGGGACAGACGGGGAGGTGCACGCGCAGGCCACCCTTGTGGGCAGCTCCGGCAGACCGGGGGCTGGGGAACGAGGTCACCTTCCCACTGGCCGCGGCCACCGCTGCTTTCTCAGCTGATCTGCACGATGGACGGAAGGCACGGGGACGGAGAAGAGACTCCAAGAGAAGACGGTCCTGTGACCTGTGGGTCTCGTTGGCACGGCCCTCTTGTCCTGGCGCCCATTCCAACTGGAGCATCCCAGGAAGACAGTCCCTGCCGGGATATGGCCCCGGACTCTGGGAGGCTTGTGCGTGGGGCAGGGCGAGGCTCATTATCACGGCCAACTCCAGACGGCCGGGTACCCGGGCAGCAGGGCGCTTCTCCCCCACACTGCATGCGCAAGTTAAACTGATTTCCTTGGAGAGCATCCAACTAGCTCGGGCAGAGGGGCATTACCGTCCAGAGCCAGAAGCCTGAGCAAGTCTTCAGATTTTGAAGGCAGGCCTGACTGTGCGGGCTGACAACGCCCCAGCTGCACAGTCCCCTGGAGGATTTGCAGGAAGAGGCGGCCCGGGCGATTAGGGTGAGAAGTAGTGTTTGCAAAGTTTCGCAGGACGAGAATAAGGAAGACTCAGTCAAGAAACCGAAGGCAGAACATCAGAGAGAAAAAGAAAAGTAGTCAAAGTACAGTAAGATACAAAGGAACGTGGTAGGGCTATTTCTTCTTTTTTTTTTAATATGGGAGGACAAAGAAGTGGATTCCTTCACCGTCTTTTCCCTGGAGAAGCTGAAAATTATTGCCGAGTTATGGGAGGCACTGGCCAAACAGGAATCCAAGCTCGCCTGTCTGCATAGTCTTAAGGAATAAGTACTTGTCGGTTCTCAAGAGAAAAGAAAACCTGTTTGCTTCACGTCACTATCAGCAGAAGGTGGGCAGTGGGTGGGAATTCATGGCAAAAGTGAAGGATCTGTCCCGGGGTCCTTGAGGAACCCGCAGCAGGCGAGTAATGAGAGCGTACAGGCTCAGACGCTAACGCTCAGCGGCCTCAGCATAGATGGCTGCTGTGGCTTAATCTTAAACTCCAACAATCGCATCAAAACCTGCCGTGTCTTCCACGTGTGTGTTCACAGAGCTGGCCCCTCCTCCCACGGCCCACCTCGCTCTCGCGTTTTGTCCTCTCCAACCTGCCGCCCTCCCTGTGGCGCCCAACACATTCAGTGTCACGTTTGAACCACAATCCCAGGTAAAGACCAACCTTCCCCAATGGGGAGTCTTTTTCTCCCCCCTTTTGCCTAAAGCTCCACATTGTTTTGACCCTTTTGGGGGCTGTTTTTTTGGCTGTTCCGGTTCTGAAATCTGTTTTCCAATCAGCACAATATCCGCAACGGATTTGCATGAAGTCAACGGGAACGCTCATCCGCGGAAACACTTGGCGTGCTGCACGGCTGTAAATAAAAATCTCTTTATCAAGAAGTGAAATGGCAGAGGAGGGAAGGGGATCTTACTGTAAAGATGACTATTTAAACACAACAGAAATACAGAAGAGACAGCAATTCAGAAAGTACAGGAAACGGTCCACCCCAGGCAGCACTGGAGGACAGGGAGGCAGCTGCCACTGGAGAAATGCCATCTCCCTCGAGTCTGAATTTCAGTGCTTTCCAAGTGGAAGGGCAGATGGTGAAAAACAGCTTTTCCCACTCCCTTGAACCCCACTGCGAGGCGGCTCTGTGCTCGCCACCAAGCAGGCAGGAAGGGCATTTCTCCCCGCTCTGCGGTCTGGCAGAGTCCCACTGTTTTCCCACGCAGCCCCACGTCACTACTGTAACGACTCCGGGATGGTGCTGACGACGTGGGCTGCCTCCGTGGCTGCAGGAGGGGAGCCAAAGAAGGTGTTGGTCTGATTCCTCTGCTGATCCCGGAGATAAGGAGGAACGGATGAGCTCTTGATGTGCAGAATCCTGGTGTCCATCACCTGACAGTCAATCTGCATCATCACTTCGTAATCCTGCCCGTTGATCACGTTCTCTGCGGGAGGAATACACATACGGAATCAATATTCAACAGAGTGTGCGATTCTGCCATCAGCTTCGATCCCAGAAAGACATCAATGAGCTTTAACGGCTGTGAACTGTCAATACGCTTTCAAGGGAACAGAGGGACTCCATCAGTCACCAAGCGGCGCTGCGGCTGGGCTAGGTGCTGAGATGGCCCGTCCTCCTCGGTTCCAGCTCCCAAACCGCCTTCGTCGGTTCAGTAAGGTCTCGGAGCAGTGGCCGAGTTAACACCAGAGCTTCTGTCCACAGACATCACAGGAAGATTTCGGTGGCGGGTGGAGGCAAGAAGGCTTAAGCGCTCCCTTCCCCTTCAACAGTGGGAATGAGTAACTGTCAAAAGAACAAACCTATCATGTGGGTGGCAAGGAGACCTGGGCCGAGACTACTTGCCTCCCATTCATCAGTCATGTTTCTAATTTCGCTAAGATTCCCAGCTACGAGTTTAAAGGTCTGCCTTAGCAGCATAAAGCACAGGAAAGACAAGCTGTAGACATGACAGTGATGCTCTTGCCCAGAGGTCCCCATCGCTCCCCTTCCGCGTGAAGGGACTCCCATCCCAGAGTTCTTGATTCCTGGTACAAGAGACAAGTGCATTTCCCATTTGGGATTAGAGAGAGTGCTACAGGACTTGCAGGTAAACTAGAGGCTATTTGCAGAGGGAACAGGAAAACCACACAGAGCCACACTTACCTGACACGTGTTGGGTAACTCATCATGAGCTCAAAATATATAGACACATGCTCTTACTTCCTAAGAGGATGAAAACTCTTTATTTTAGGGAGAGAGCCAAATTATTTCCTGGTTTGTAATTCTGGGTACTCGCTTTCCAACTTGAAGTCAATGAAACTTGGGCATAAAACTGATGAGGGAACTGTAAGCGGATAGTCTTTCAAGGCCAGCTGGACATTCACGGCAATGCAGTTAGAAGGTTCACGCCTGCGTGTCCATTAGCGTTTCCCCTGTGAATCCGGAGCTGGGAGGGGGATCGGGCAAGGGCTGAGCTTACTACCTGTTTATGAAGATGATACGCAGCCCACCAGTGACTTTTGAAATTACACGCTGGGCTTCTCCAGGACCAGGAATTGAATTTAAAAGTAGAATTTTTCTTTTTTTGTTTTACTTTCACACTGTACTATTAATCTAGAGTACTATTAATCTAGAGGAGGGAAATCCAGAGTCTGACATCTGATCTTCAGATTCCATTGTTATGTTTGGGAACAGTGAGCCATGGAGTGTGTCACAGGTTAGGATTTACAGAAATGCGCTAATCCAGGGCGTCTGAAATTAGGGTCTAATGTACAGACTTCAGGGAGTCCATACGTTCCTTGAAATTGCATGCAAAGTTCTGTGTGCTTATTTTTCTGGAGAAGGGCCCCAATCACATTCTCAATGGGGTCTATGACTTCCCGAAAGTTGAAAACTACTGGATCTAATAACCTATCAACTTTAAGTTCCTTGAGCAGATGTGAGTCTATTTCAAAGCTAATGGAAGATTCCATCCATCCCTCCACTTCTCTTGGTTGGTTACCTGCTGTAATTTTTAACACAGTCTCCATGGATGACTGATTTCTCATTACAAGTATTGCAAATGTCTTCTATTACACTTGGAGCTGATATCCTTCTTTCCCACTTTACTAGAGAGGAAGAACTGTGGGCACTGACTAACCTTACCTATTCTTTAAGACCGTCACTCCGGACACTTCAATTTTAGGAGTCCTGCCACTATGCGGTGACAACTAAGTAATTTGCTTAGCTTAAAAAAAAAAAAAACTGAGGTATAATGGACATAAAATATTAGTTTCAGGTGTACAACTTGGTGATTTGATATTTATATACATTGCAAAGTCACCACCACAGTACATCTAGTTATCATGTGTCACCAAAGCTAACACAATATTACTGACTACATTCCCCATGCTGTACATGAAAGCCACACGACTTGTTTTAGAACTACAAGTTTGTACTTCCTGATTCCTTTACTATTTTGCTCCCCACTCCAACTCATCTCCCCCTCGGGCAATCACCAGTCTGTTCTCTGTCTAGGAGTCTGGGTTTGGTTTCGTTTATTTTTTCAGATTCCACATATGAGTGGAGTATGTCTTTTTGGGTCTGTTTATTTAACTTAGCATAACATCCACTAAGTCCATCCGTGTTGTTGCAAAAGGCAAGATTTCATTTGTTCTATGGCTGAGTACTATTCCATCATACGTATAAATATACATACGTCTTTAAAAAAAATTTTTTTTTTGAGAGAGCGAGAGAGAGGGAGAAACAGAATCCCAAGCAGGCTCTGTGCTGTCAGTGAGGAGCCCAACACGTGGCCTGAACCCACGAACCATGAGATCATGACCCGAGCTGAGATCAAGAGTCGGACACTTAACTGACTGAGCCATCCAGGCGCCCCCCATTTGCTTATTTTTGCTTTTGTTTCTCTTGCCTTTGGAGTTAGACCCAAAAAAACATCACCGAGAGTGACGTCAAGGAGTTTACCACTTATGTTAACGTTTTCTTCTAGTTTTATGGTTTCAGGTCTTCAAGTCTTTAATCCATGTTAATTTTTGTATATGGTATAAAATGATGGTCCTATTTCCTTCTTCTGCACGTAGCCGTCCAGTTTGCCCAACACCATTTACTGAAGAGACTGTCTTTTCCCCATTGTATATTCTTGCTTCCTTTGTCAAAAATTAACGGACCATACATGAGGGTTCGTATCTGGGCTCCTGATTCTGTTCCACAGACCCACGTGTTTTTGTGCCAGTACCATACTGTTTTGGCTACTATGGCTTTGCAGTACAGTTAAAAATAAGGGAGCATGGTAACTCTGGCTTTGGACTTTCTCAAGATTGCTTTGAGTATTCGGGGTCTCCTGTGGTTCCACATAAATTGTAGAATTACTTGTTCTAGTTCTGTGAAAAAATGCCATTGGCATTTTGATAGGAATGGCACCAAACTTGTAGGTTGCTTTGGTTAGGATGGAGAGTTAACGATGTTAATTCTTCTAATCCCTAAGTATGAGATATCTTTCCATCTGTCTGATTCTTCTTCAATTTCTCTCATTAACGTCTTACCGTTTCCAGTGCAAGGTCTTCCACCTCCTTGGAGGTATTTTATTCTCCTTGATGTAACTGTAATTGGGATTATTTTCTTGATTTCTCTGGTAGTTCGTTATTCACATATAGAAACACAACAGATTTTTGTTTACTGATTGTGTATCCTACAACTTCACTGAATTTGTTAATTCTAGTCCTTTTTTTGTGGAATCTTGAGGGTTTTCTAGGCCCAGTATTATGTCATCTGCCAATAGTGACCGTTCTATTTCTTTCTTTTCTTTTTTTTTAATTTTTTTTTTAACGTTTATTTATTTTTGAGACAGAGAGAGACAAAGCATGAACGGGGGAGGGGCAGAGAGAGGGAGACACAGAATCTGAAACAGGCTCCAGGCTCTGAGCTGTCAGCACAGAGCCCGACGTGGGGCTCGAACTCACGGACCGCGAGATCATGACCTGTGCCGAAGCCGGCCGCTTAACCGACTGAGCCACCCAGGCGCCCCTATTTCTTTCTTTTCAATGCGTATGCCTTTTGTTTCCTGCCTAACTGCAGTGGTGAGGACTTTCAATACTATTTTGAATAAAAGTGGTGACAGTGGGCATCCTTGTCCTGTTCCTGGTCTTTGAGAAAAAACTTTCAGCTTTTCGCCACTGAGTAGGACGCTGGCTGTAGGTTTGTTGTGGACGGCCTTTATTACGTTGAAGTCTGCTCTTTCTATACCTACTTTGTTTAGAGTTTTTATAAGCAGATGTTTAATTTTGCCCAATGCTTTTCACCGCATCTTTTGAGGCGATCATATGATTTCCATCTTTCATTTTATAAATGTGGTGTATCATGTTGATTAATGTGGATGTTGAACCATACTGGCATCCCTGGAATAAATCTCACTTGACTGTAGTCTATGATCACTTTAACGTATTCCTGAATTGGGTTTGCCAGTATTTTGTTCAAGATTTTTACATCTGTGTTCAGCAGAGGTGTTGTCTTATAATTGTCTTTTCTTGTAGTGTCCTTGTCTGGCTTGGGCATCAGGGTAATGCTGGCCTCGTGAAATGAGTTTAAAGCGTTCCCTCCTCTTCAATTTTTGGAAGAGTTTGAGAAGGACAGATATTAAATCTTCAAATGTTTGGTAGAATTCACTAGTGAAGACATCTGCCCTGGACTTTTGTTTGTTTGGAAGTTTTTGATTACTGATTCAATCTTAGTAATTGGTCTAGTCAGATTTTCTATTCTTTATGTTTGGTTCAGTCTCGGAAAATTGTGTTTCTATAAATTTATCCATTTCTCCTAGATTGTCCAATTTATTGGCAAATAATTGTTCATAATAGTCTCTTACGATCCTTCTTATTTTTGTGGTATTAGTATAACTTTCATTTCTGACATTATTTGAGCCTTCTGTTTTCCTGGTGAGTCTACCTAAAGGTTTGTCTATTTTGTTTATCTTTTCAAAGAACCAGCTCTTAGTTTCAGGTATCTTTCCCATTATCCTTTTAGTCTCCTATCTCATCTATTTCGGCTCTGATCTTTACCTTCTTCCTTGTACTAACTTTGGGCTTTGTTTGTTCTTCTTCTAGTTTCTTTAAGTGTAAAGTTAAATTTTAGTTTGAGATGTATCTTGTTTCTTGAGGTAAGCTTGTATCCTTACGAACTTCTCTCCTCACTTTTGTTCATCTTACAGTTTGTGGTATTTGTGTTTGTTTTCAATTGTTTCTAAGTATTTTCACCTTTTGACTTCTTCTATGACCCAGCAGCTGTTCAGTAACGCGTTGTTTAATCTCCATGTACTGGCAGTTTTTCTAGTTTTCTTATAACTGATTTCTAATTTCATACTATTGTGGTCAGAAAAGATGTTTGAAAGGATTTCAACCTTCTTGAATTTACTGATCTGTTTTGTGGCCTAATATGTGATCTATCCTAGAGGGT